AAGACCTTCCTGCTTATGGGAAGCAAAAGTCCCACCAGCCTCCCTAAAGTGACGGGAAACGGCAGCGTCGCTTCTGGAAACTTTCCTGGAAGGGCTCAATTGCAGCACTCGATGTTTTTGAAAACAGGCAAAGGCTGAGCTGTGTTTCCGATACCTGCAGGAAGTGCTTCCTCCGTCACACGGGGGTGGGGGCTACTTAGTCTCTGCAGATTAGGACATCCCGTGCTCAAAAATCTGTTTCAAATTAAGGATATTGTCAAGGTTTTACAGGGTGAGAGCAGAAAGCTTCGCCGTGATAATCTGTTGAGAAAAGGGAGGGCAAGGTGACACCCCAAGTCTCTACGGCAGGGATCTCCAAACTTGGCCATTTTAAGACTTGTGGACTTCAACTCCCAGAATTCCCCAGTTGCTGGCTGGGGAATTCTGGGAATTGAAGTCCACGTGTTTTGAAGTGGCCAGGTTTGGAGATCCCTAGTCTCAGGTTAGACCAGGCAAGATACCAAAGAGTTGCAAACTTTGCAAATTGGAGAGAAGCCGGGAGAAAAACAAGGAAAATGAGGATATTCCCACATCTGGTGCTTCGTGAAGCGGCACCATTTCTTTGAAACTATTCTGAATCTCTTTGCATTCAAGCCAGGCAAGCAAAAGTGAGCAGAGGCAGGAGTACACCTTATCAAATTCCAGTGGCTAAATTTACCAGCCATCACTCTGGACAACAAGACAGGCAGCATATAAATTTAATCAATGAATAAAAATGCAGTCATAAAAAGCGCTCCAGGTTAGATGGCATTTAGCAAACTTGCAGAGAGAGAGAGAGAGAAAGTAAGAGAAAGAAAAAGAAAAAGAGAAAGGAGAAAGGGAGAGGAAGAGCATGAAAGAAAGAGTGAGAAAGAAAGAAAGAAAGAAAAGATGAGAGAAAAAGAAAGGGAGAAAATAGTGTGAAAGAAAGAGAGAGACAGAGACAGAGAGAAAGACAGAGAGAGAGAGAGAATGAAGGGGGGGCATCACTTTGCCTAATTTCACAGGGTCCCCAGGGTCCGGCCGCCAGTGCCCCTTGCAGGGGGGGCTAAGGGTACCTGCCCTGCCTGGCACGCTGCCCCTCTGAAGCCCCCCACGTTACAAACCTCGGCCTTTTCCTCTCCTCTCTTGCAAGCAGGGCTAAAACAGCCCTTATGCAAACTTTCCATAACTTCATGATGTTAGAACAACAAATTGAACCGTAATATCCACTTTGCGCCTCGGGATACTGGAATTTTTTTGTCTATAACCCACGCATCCAAACAAGACAGGGAAAGCATTTTTTTGTTTTTTTTAAAGCCTGGAAAACTGGCCCCCACCCCGTCCCACCCACCCAAAAGGGCAGGAGTTAACAATTGTCTCTCTCTCTCTTTTTTTCTAGTGCCCCTCAGAAAACAACCAACCAGCCAACCAAGAAAACATCCAATTCACACACACACCCTCGGGGTAACCAAGTTTCCAAAATAAGCGGCCAGAAAACACACACACACACACACACACACACACACTTCTTCGGCAATGAACGGCAGGCCGGCTGTGTGGTTAGAGAGCTGGGTCCGACCTTCCCTGCCCCAAACGTCCTCATCCGGAAATGACCAAGGATGGAAAAAAGTTGTGGTTTAATAAATGACAAAGCTTTTGACACATCTTGCCTTGCTTGGGCTGCTTGCAAAACTCCGAAAGGAGCAGGCCGGCAGATGACACAAGCCCCCCCCCCCTGCCAGCCCTGGCGGTGTCTGCTTTCCTGGCGGCCTTCGAAGAAAGAGGAGGGACCTCCGCCCGCCCGGAGGTGGCCCAGGAAGGAGAGCGGCAGGTGAGGGCAGCCCCAGGACATGCCCTTCCAAAGACCCCCTCTTCCCCAGGACCCCAGCCTGGCTTTTTTTCTCCAGACTCCGAGAAAACTGAGAATCAAGGTGGATTTAAAATGCGAAGCCCCCCGCCCAGACTTCATTTCCTCAGATCCAAGACAATGTGGCTATGAACGCTAGGAGCAGACACAGAAATGGCAAGCAAAGGGATTTTGGGGAGGGGGGCTTTGAAAACTGCAGCCTAAAATAAGGGGTGTCTCTTGGGGCACAGTCCAGGAGGAACCCCACCGTCTGGCCCTTTGCAAGCAGACTGGCCTCGCTCCCTCCTGTCAGGGGTCAACCTTGCAAGAAGGAAAGTTGACTCCAGGATCTCCGATGGGGTTTGAGGGCCTCCAGGATGCTGGGAAACAGTGCAAGGAAGGATGAGAGCCGTGTTTTGAAGAAGACAGTCCATTTGCTATGGAAAAGAGAAGGAATTCTAAGCCTGGGATGGGGGTCACCAAGAGTTGTGGGGGGGGGGAAGAGGAAGAGTGATTCCTGTCTGACCCCCAGAGTAAAAAAGTCTCAAGACAAGGCCTCCTCCTCCTCCTCCTCCTCAACCTGCCTCTCACCAGAACATCTGGATGACATAAACAACTGCAAATATTTCCATCGGAAACGCAGATGTTCCTCGGACTTTCAGCTTGGCTGTAAATACTACCTTGGAAGCTAGCAAAAATGGACAAGCCAGACCTTGAATTGGCTGGGGGGGGGAGGGTGGGGAGGGGGGAAGAGGCCTGGCTGATTCCAGCCTCTTCTGCATTTGGGGCTGGGCTGGGCTGGGGGCTCCAGAGATGCTGAGGGCAGCCCAAGTAGCCCACGCAAAGCCCCCAGGCCTCTCCTGCTCCAGACGGTAAACTTTTATCTCCAATCCTGGAGAACCTCAAGGCCACCCCTGGAAGAAAGAACAACAACAACAAAAAAAAAAAACCTGGCTTTGCAAACTTGGCTAGACGTGAGTTGTGTAATCAAGTAATATCGAAAGTCTCCGTGTGCTGAAGAAAATGCCTTCAACGAATTTTGGAGAGGATGCTTTTGATACATTTCCTCTTTTTTTCTTGTCTCTCAAAGAAAAAGTGCTAACTCAGATTCGGTGGCCAGGGTGAAATTCCCAGGCTCTGCTATAAAACCTGACCAAGCCCCCCCCCCAAAAAAATAGAGCCCATGGAAGCACTTTCATCCACATACAAAAATCTGGAGAGGCCCCGTTTGTTCCACTCTTTACAAGGCATTTCCAGAGAAATGTAGACGCACTCTCTCAAAATGAGCGAGGGGGTCTTTCCAAGGAAAGATGATGTCCAAATTCCCCAGCTAAAATATTCAATATAATGAAAGGGTTTTTTTTTTTTTTTAATTATCTTAGGAATGGGGGGGGGAAAGGAGTAACAATCTGGGGCAAGATCTTGAGAATAAGAAAAGCATCATTTGGGATAACCCAACTGTAACAAAGGCGTGATAAAAAGAAAATAAATAAACACAATAGTAAAGTAACAAAGGCCGAATAAAATCTAATAATAAACAAACTGCCCTTTGAGGAATTGTGGATAAATTCAACCAGCTTTCCCCACCTGCTGGCTTTCAGATTAATCAGACTGGATGCTCGGTGCCCCCCCTTCTCCCCCCTTGGGAGCAGCTGCCTGACCGTGGCATGGAGTCCCAGGTTTGCCCACACATGTGATGCCATGCGTTCATGCGACACCCGGGCACAAACTCCAAGATCTTGACTGAGCAGGCAAACAAACCAGGGTAGAGCTACCCAAGCACTTTCTCCTCCTTAAGAGCCAGACAAAAAGAGGGGACAGACACACACACACATGCACACAAACCAAGGGAAAGCCACCCCGCTTTTGGAAAAGAGACAACCCAGAGCGCCATGTTTAGCATCTGGGAAGGGGGGCAGCCAGGAGAAGAAGGGTGGGCACCCCCCAAACCCGGAGCACTGTTTTCTGCCAAGGCTACGCCAGCTTCAGCTGAATCCCCCATTCACTGCCTGCCTTGAGGGATGAATGGATTTCTGTTCCCATCGCAGCTTTGGAAGAGATGGGAGAAGAGGCCGCCTTAAAAAAAAAATATATTCCATTTTCACCATCCATTTTCTCTCTAACTGGTTTTGACCTTCCTCGGCCGGTCAAAATAAGAAGGCAAGAGGGGGACAATTCCATATTTTTATTATTTGCTTTGGGAAATCCAGACTTTTTCAGCTTTTCGGCTTATTTCCTAGAGGCCGGTCTTGATGGAGGTGGCATCTAAGAAGCTTTAGTGAGGCTTCTGGCCTCCGGTCCTTGGCTTATGGGGGAGGGGCAGGACAGGGAAGGACCTTTTGCAGTCACACCAAGTCTGCAGCCTCGCTTGGTAGCCAAAGCAGGGATGGAAACCTGCAGGAATCCTTTGAAAATCCTGCCCACCATCAGTGGCACCAACCAAACTACAATCACCCAGGCAACTGCTGGGGGCTTCGGACTTCCCACCGATCTGGGTGGCCGCCCAGGCAAACGCGGCTAAGGAAACCGAGACAATAAATGTAACAAATAAAATAAAAAAATAAAATGTACATATCCGCCCATGATATTCAACTAAAGTAATATCTCAAAACAAGGAACAGACGAAAGAAAAAACAAGTTGAAAAAAGTTCTAAAACCCAGGAGCTTTTAAAAGATTCTCAGATGAGTTAAAGCAAGCCTTTTAAAACAGCTGTGTCAATTTGTTCCATGTAGATATCCTGAGTGGTTGGGGCCATCCAGAAGATCAACTTCCCTCCCCAAAAAAGAATTAAATCTCCAAAGAGCAAAGCCTCTGAGATAAAAGAGACAGCACTGAACAAACATTAATAAGGGAAAAAATAGTCTGTACTAAGCACAAAGTCTCCGATCATCCCAGTATTCATTTCTGAGATCTGTTACCCAAAGGATCACTCTTCAGCATCCAGCTGAAAGCCCGTGGCTACCAATATGACTTCGCTCGATTTCTCCAAACTGCTTTTAAAAGTATTTAAGCATAGTTCTTTGCCTACTTTTGGGGTCAGCAAGATCCCAGAAATTGAATGATCTGCTGAATGAAGAGGTTCTTTCTTCTGTGTGTCCACATCACAGATGTTTAGAAAAGAGAAGAGAGGGAGCAAAGATAGAGACCACTTACCTTAGGGGGATCAAACAGCGCCAAGGCATAACTCTGGCAGTCCGGAGGCCCTTCTTTGTATAAAACTAGCCGGCATTTCTGCCAGCGAGTCCCACTGTCCTCCGTCACCATCATGTATTTCAGGTTCCCTTCTTTCTGGATCTGTAAGGAGCAGTCCCTGGAGATGGTCCACGGGAAGATCTTTCTGGCAAGGCCAGATCTCAAAACCAAGTCCGCCATCTCCCCTTCGCCAGGGCCCGACTCCAAGGATCTCCGGCGGAACAAGCTACGCCAGCTCCTCCGTAGCCGGTCCAGAGAAAAATGTCTCCTGACGCCCAATGGAGAAGTGGGCGCTGCCAGTTCTTCAGAACTCCAGGACTTGGGAAGTCCACCAGAGCGGACCTCAGAGGCCCGGTTGACCTGGTCCGACAATTCCACCTCAACCTTGGCCCCAACCGTGCCCGAGGATCCCTCACCATGTTTCTGGCCTGTGTCCCGGTAGTCTCGCACTCTGCTGAAGGGCAGGATGTGAAGCTGGTCCGTAGCATTTGTATCCTTCACCTCGTTGCGGAAATATTGCTGGAAGAGGTCCGCAAACTGAAGGGAGAAGTTCTCAGCGGCCAAAACTTCATGCTGGGGGTTCTCGCTGACGAAGTGTAGGTACTCCCTGGCCAGCTCCCTGGCGGTGGTGATAGCGTGCTGCTTGCAGAAGTCGTTCCACCCGCCGGGGTGTCCGGAGTCGCCTGATGGGACAGCGTGTCCATTCATGGCCAAGTCTGGAGATTTCCTGGGGTTCTATAAAGGGAACGAGTTCCAGACACAGAGAACAGGGAAAAGAAATGGTGTGAGGATCAGACCAATTCAGGACAAATAGCAGAGAAGGCTCGTCCAGGCAGCCGGGGACCATATTGGAAAAGGATAGCCAACTGAGAAACTGAGAACTGAGCCAATTGAGAAACACAATGGGTAAGATACCATCACTACAGGCCACACGGACGTTCAACGATGACATATATAAGTGGTAGACCTACAACCAACTCAGTAAACACCAGCTAATCAAGAAACCGCCAAGAACACTCCCATCAATTTGATGGGGCAAGCTACTGATGATGTTACCTAGTAGGGTCACGAAACATCTGCAAGAAACTCACCAAGGTCAGAGAGTGCCAAGGACCCCATCGTTCAACCTTGAGCTACAAAGATGCCACTAGTATTATAACTGGTTAGCTCTGCAGACAATTCTTGGACATGCACCAGGGTCCTAATCTCCTCGGCCCAACTTCATCAAAGTGCATAAGCCATCCTGAGGAGCTCTCCCAGGATCTCCCAGGACCGTCTCCCAAAGTCGCCTTTACCCAGGTGGGTAAGCCACAAGGAGGGATCGGGGCCTTCAACAAGCTGGCACAGCTCTCCTACAGGCCCTTTTAAAACTGTTTGTGAACTCCTGGAGTAGAATCGAGGTGCTACAACGCTCTTCAAACATGACCTAGCATGTCCTGGACAGAGTGAGCAAGGAGGGGGACTGCCGTCAGCATTCCTAGATAGCAGCCTTCCACCGCTGAGAGGTGGAAGGGAAAGTAGAAAGACAATACAGAAAGAAACCGGTCCAACCGGCTCAGAATCAGCTCTCTTTTTTTTGCCAATGTGATCTACACCAGCATCGCAGTCTTTGGACCTACGGATGGTTTAGACCCATGTTTCTCCACCTCGGCCACTTGAGGATCGGAGGACTTCAACTCTGGGACTTGAAGTCTACCCATCTTCGAGTGGTTTCAGGTTCACCCCTCTACAAGTGGCATGGCTGCCTGGGGAATTCTGGGAGTTGAAGTCAAGTGGCCAACGTTGAGAAACACTAGCTAAACTGAGAGATCTGTGTTCCCATCTCTCCTTGCCATGACTGGGCGACCCTCAGCCGATCCTCTCTGCCTCGCCGAACTCTCTGGCTTCCCTAAACAGAATAACAGTTAGAAGAGACCTTGGAGATCTTCTAGTCCAACCCCCTGCTCAAGCCAGAGACATTCTCCTCCTGCATGTACGAATGGTGCCCGGCTGGGAAAAGACAGATTCTACACACCCACTTGCGGGATGCTGCACCACTAGCCCGATCTTCTCTCTGAGGACTGTCAGGCCCTGCAAAAGAAACCCCCAGCATTGAGGGGTCTTGTGGGTGTGCAAAACACCCAGCCGTAGCTCTGCCAAAGTGTGCGAGTGAGAAGTCCACTTTGTTCCAAAGTTTTTGCAAAGCTCCCAGCCCTCAGGCTTTTCTCTCTCCTGCAAAACGCTCTCGTTTTATCCTCCTCAGGCACGGCCGCTGAAACAGGAAGCCGGTTCGTTGTGCGGCCCCACAATGCCGTCTCCTCGTGCAAGCAGGCCCCAGGCCTTCCTCCCCACAGCAGCGTGGGCCGGCCAGGGATCACCTTGAGGAGGTCTTCCTGAGGGCGAGAGGTTTTTCCCCAAAGCAAAACAAAACCGGGTAACCGTTGTGGGGCAGCGCGCAGAATGCCTGTTTACTCGCCTGGAGACAGTGAGACTAGAGAACTGAAATGCAGGGAGCTTTTGACTGTGTACGTACACCAACAAGCCCACACCCACAGACACAGTGCTTCCAGCTTTCAGTTAAGCAACCCGGGCACTTTTTGACGTGCCCGAGTGAGATTAAAATCAATAGATTACTTCTCTCCCTTTCTCTGCACTGTATTTATACAGTCCGTGATTGTGTGCGCACCTCCTTGCTTGGTCATACCTGTGCAAAGCCCCCCCACCCCGATCAAAGGCGCCTCGATGACCTACTTTACACTAAGCCCTAACCTGAGGTTCACAGACCACAAGGTTGGTGTTGTGCACTTCCTATCCAGCCTAAGTAAAAGCGAGCATAATAAGGTGTGAAGCCGTGTCACACATGTATTGCCCTGATACGAATCTTTCACGTAATTCGGCAAGCTGATAGGAACGCCACTCTGCTAGCTCAGGAAGAGAGCAACTATTAAGTTCCATCGCCCAAAGAACGACGTCCGGACTCTCGCTTCTGGCTCATCCTTCTTCAAAGGGGAGCTGAACAGGCTCCTGAGCCCTGCTATAACCACTGGACCTCGCCCGACCCGTTTCCCATTCGGGAGACAACCCTGAATCCGGCTCTTGCCTTTTAGAGACGGGGGGAAACAGGCAGTTCACAATTCAGGGGCGGCATTTAGGACACAAAGTATGAAAAAAGGAACAGAATACCAGGATCTGGGCATTTTACCATGAGGCCCCCTTCCTCCTGATGGATGAAGGACCCCCTCCCAATGCTGGGACTACAGGGCCCCTGCAGCCCAGCCTGGCAGGGATGAGTGGAACTCATGTCCCCCAAGGTTTGGAAGATACCACTGTCTGGTTCTGGACTTTGGCTCTTGCGCATGGCCCCTCTGGCCCAGTCACGTGGCCGTAAAGGGCAGATGTCTGCGGACATCTCATGACTTCTAAGAGGAAGAAAGGGCAGCAGAAGAAAAACCCAGAGGACCACAAAGAGCTCTCAGCTCAGCCGAACGGCTGAAGAGTATTCGGCCCTGATGGGCTTAACAAGCAGAGGTTCCAGCAGGATCCCACCTCAGGACTTCTAAGAAGAAAGGGGGCTTGTAAGCAGCAGCAGCAGAGGGGAAACCAGAATAACAGAATGACAGAGCTGGAAGGGACCTTGGAGGGCTTCTAGCCCACCCCCCTGCTCAAGCAGGAAACCCTAGACCATTTCAGACAAAGGTTTGGCCAATCGAAAACCGTCCTTGCCAAAATAAAAACCACACAAGCTTTGTAAACCAACCGGAGAGACGCTGCAAGGAGCCGAGACTGCATGCCGCTGCGTAACGTGCTTCCAGGTGCCCGAGTCTCTTGCCCCCACGGGGCCCCCAGCTCTGGGTCTATCTGTCTGACCAGCCTGCCAATGACTCAGCACCACGCTTCCTCCCAGACGCAACGACAACGTCCTCCTGCCCCGCGGGCCAGGGGTCCCTGGGAAACCGAGGCAGAGGGGTGGGAGTGCCCTCCAGCCCGATCCCTCTACGGCTTTTGGCTTCTCCAGGACCCGCGGCGCCACCCTAGCCGCCCCTGCCTCCCAGAGAGGGGCCATCTTTGAATGGGCTTTTCCAAAGACGCAAACCGCAGAGAAGAGCAACTACTAGGAGGATTAAAGGCCCGGAGAGTGAAACGCATGAAGAGCAGTTGCGGGAACTGGGGAAAGAAACGCTGGGGGGGGGGGGGACAGGATAGCATTCCAATATTTGAAGGGTTACCATAAAGACGAGGGGGCCAAGTTATTGTCCAAAGCACCCAAAGGCAGGACAAGAAACAATGGTTGGAAACTAATCACGGAGAAAAGCAACCTGGAACTAAGGAGAAACTTCCGAATAGTGAGAACAATTAACCAGTGGAGCAACTTTCCCTCCAGAAGGTGTGGGTGCATCATCCCTGGAGATTTTTAAGAAGAGGCTGGACAGCCCACCTGTTTGAAATAATGTAAGACCTCCTGCTTGAGCAGTGGGGTTGGACTAGAAGACCTCCAAGGTCCCTTCCAGCTGCATTCTGATTGAAAACGCACACACGCCTGGCTGGGCCCCATTGCTAGAGAGAATCTGCCTGGCCCCAGATTCTTGCAAAAGTCTCGCTGGCCTTCCCACGCAATGAACACGCCCTCCCCCCAAGGAATGGGAGGCAGAGCCGTGCCCGTGAGACGGCCCTGGCAACCCAAAGTTACATAAGCCAGCTCCCGCGTCACAGAGCTGAGGATCTCTGTGGAGCCCGGCGGGCGGGCTGTCTCTCAGGGGCCAGGAGCAAAGCGGCCGCCTTTGCAGAGCCCACCAAGAACAGGACGCTTTGGGAAAGGCGCTTTGGTGGCTCCGGCTCTGAGCCTCCAGCCCGGTGCAGGCAGGGAGAAATCGGACGCACGTTTCTAGCAGCACGTCAAAAATAGAAGATTTCCCCCCCCCCCCCCGGCTCTCAGTTTTGTGCTTTGAAATGCACAATGGCTTTTAACTTGCACTATGGAAGGAAGGCCCCTCCCAAACTTCCCCTTGTTATGAAAGGCCGCTGGGCCCAGTGGGAAGGGGAGTTGCCATGTCAGCAGGTATGCCATGCGTGGGAAGAAAATCCACACAAAGACACTCACGTTCAATTCACACCGGGCACCCTCAAATGCCCAGAAAGACCGCCCGGAGCAGAAAGGGCAACGGGTGAGCTTTGCAAGGGAGCGATCTGAACGCAGCCCTTGGGTGTCTGGCTTGAGCAGGGGGTTGGATTAGAAGACCCCCAAGATTCAACTCTGATATTTATCTGTCCTACAGCTTGGCCTTCTTCAACAGAGCCCCCCTCTCCATCCTTTCTGGGGGGGGGGAATTAGGAAAAAGCGGAGCAGAAAGAGAGGAGAAGCCAGGTCTGCAGGGCCAAACTGAAGCCAAATTAGAGAGATTAAGGAAGGGAACAACCGATCCATCGTGTCTTTGTTGAACCCGGGGTTGTCCCAGAAGGGCTTCTGTTGGAGCAGGGAGGTTCCCTGGACCAATGCTGCACAGCACCACCACCACTGCATGCGAAGCGAGCACGCAACCCAGACCCAGCACGCCAAGCCCCACCGCCACCGAACGTACCCCGAGCGCGATGTTCTGATAAGCTTCTGAGAAACAGCAGCCTTTGCAGCGCAGCAATCTGGTCAAGAGAAGAAGCCAGGATGGTGCGTCTCTTTCAGATCTCAGTTTAATCCAGCGGGAGTCTAACTCTGGCCACTTTTAGACTTGTGGAGTTCAGTTCCCAGAATTCAGCAAGGCTGGGACATTCTGGGAATTGAAGTCCACAAGTCTTAAAGAGGCCAAGGTTAGACACCCCTGCTTTAACTCAAAAGTTTGCAAAAAAATAATAATAATATAGCAACAGCTACAAGTCTACAGAAAGGTATTTGCAAGCAAGGAAAGAGCACCATGGGCTTTGTGGTTGGTCCCAACTTAAAAGTCTTTGGCATCCAAAAAGTATTTCAGCCTCTTTGACAGCCTGTCAGTTTTGGCCCCATCCTGACCAACACACACACACACACACACACACAATTTTTTTCTAAGCCCAAGCAAGTTCCTTTTCTTTCGCATTTATCCCTTCCATTCCTACAGCCCCCCCCCCGCCCAACTCAACGCAGGAACTCTGCGGCTCCTCGTTCTCAACCTTAAAACGATCAAAAGAAATAAAATAGCAAAACCTCACGCAGTGTCGGATTCCCCCTGCGCCCCCCTCCTCCCCCCCCCGCCTAAGGGAGCCTGGGCCTCGTTCTCCGATGTTGGAGCGTCCAGATGTGGGGCAGCTGTTTATAGGCAGCCTGCTCCCCCCTCCCCAGGTGCAAGTCTTCCTCGGGCAGGGGGTGGCCCCCTTTCCCGGACGGACCCCCGCCTCGATTCGAGCTGCTCCGATCCCCAAAGTGCCCCCGGGGGCGACCAGAGGGGGGGGGCGCTGCCCCGGGACCTTCCGCGGACAGGCAGCCGGGAAGAGGGGGGGTCGCTCCCGAGGCTCCCCCCGCAGGTGCCTCCGCGCAGAAGCCCCTTCCCGCCCAGGAAAGCGGGGTGGGCGACGGGGCGGAGGGGCTCGCACCGGCCCGCTCCCACCCAGGGATGGCGACCCCCCAAAAAGAGGCGCCTGCGGTCCTCTGCCCCCTCCCTCCTGCCTGCCCCCTCCCGGGCGAGCGCGGGCACTCTGCACATGCTCCACCAGCCCCGCGCCCCAGCAGCGGGAGCCAGAGCCGCCGCGGAGCCCGCCGACTCACCTGCGCGAGAAGCGGCGCCCCTCGGCCGCCCGGCCCATGCCGCCCGGGCCCGGAGCGCCGCGCCGTCGGAGCCGCCAGCAGCCGGTAGGAGCGGGCGAGCGGGCGGGGCGCCTGGACGCCGACCCGGCCCGACGCCTCCCTGGCCGGCGAGGGGCGGAGGCGGAGGCGGCGCCGGGCGGAGGCGGCTGCCGCGGCGGCTGGAAGGAGCGGACGGGCGAGGGAGGCCGGCGGGCCGGGGCGGCAGCGCGGCGCCCGCGGGCGCTTTCGCTTCCTCCAGATGTGCGGCCGGGGGGGGGCAGGTGCGCCTCGCCCACAGCCCGCGCGGCAGCTGGAGGAGGCCGGCCTGGGCGCGCGTGGGAGCCCGTCCAAGACCCCGGCCCACTCGAGGGCGAGGACGGCGGCAACTTTTCATACTTGTGGACTTCAATTCCCAGAATTCCCCAGCTGCTACCTTGGCAACTTTGAGATTGCTGGCTGGGGAATTCTGGCAGTTGGAGTCCACAAGACTTAAAAGTTGTCAGGGTTACTACAGACCCCACAGCACTCAGTTGCAAAGGCCGAGACTTTCCGTTCTTGAAATCACCCATCGAAGCCACCGAGGACACGGCCAACTTCATTTGTGCTATTGGTCCAAGCAGTCAGAAAGTCTCTTTTTTTTTTTAAGGGGGGGGGGGCTGCAGAGCCTTTGGTCCTCCCAAGCTGTTTGCCTTTATTTTATTTTAATGGCGCCAGGATGAAAAATAAGGGCTGTCTTTAACTACCCAGCTGTCTCTTCTAAAGGCAGGAGGAGAAGACACTTTTGGGGGGGGTCTTCTTGCTAATTTGGGGGCCAGATTGCTGGGCAGGTTAAACAGGGAAGGATCAAGATTCTGGAATGGCCCAATTATTCACGAAATTCAGAGAAGAACTCTCAAAAACTCCGGCCAAGCTGTGTATTTGACCATTGCAGTTTGGTTTAAGAAAAACCGGTTCTGATTGTGTCACGCAACACAGCCCACCCCCCAAAAAACCAAATGTTTGTCTTGTTTTGTTTCCTCTAGCCTTTAAGTGTACTGTGTCTTTTAAGCCAAACTTTCTCAACTTTTAGGCCTGTTTTAAGCATGGGAGGTTGACAATGCTTGGCGAGGCACACTTCGCCCGTTTGATAAGCACGCTTTGAAGGATTTGTGTACGCCTTAAAAAAAAAAAAAGTATTACAAAACAACTCTGAAGGCCCTTGGCCTCTTCGCTCTAGAAAGGGCCCTCGCAAATGAATGCAATGTGGCTCGAGCGCCATCGAGTGGCCAGATCGATACCTACCTTGAGCCAATCAAAGATATATATATATATATATATATATATATATATATACATACATACATTCTATATCTGGTCTCCTCCAACCATGGCGACTTTACGACTTGTGGACTTCGACTCCCAGAGGCCTCAGCCAGCGGATGCTGTCTGAGGAACTCTGGGAGTCGAAGTCCACAAGCCATAAAGTTGCCACGGTTGGAGGAGCCTATTCTATATTGCCCTGCCTGGAGACTTAGCATAATCCTGGTGTGGCCACATTCACACATTCAGACTCGATTCTGTATTTGGGAATCTCACATTTCAGACCCAGATTAGCTGCTGAGGCTTCCCTTGCAGCTACAGTCTTCTTTGCTCTGCCTGGAAGCGCCGCAATAGAGAGTAATAATTACAATAGGTAGATATATTGCCCATATACATAATAAGTGGTACAGGCAGCCCTCAACCGTGGCAAGATAATTCGTAAAAGGGTGCAAAGCTCACTTAACAAATGTTTCACTTAGCGACGTAAGCGTGGGGACTCGATTGTGGTCGTAACTCGAGGACTGAGTCCCTGTATTGCAAAAGCAAAAAGGAGTTTTATTGCTTCCTTGCTGGCTGGCAAGTCTGGCAGTTCATTTACGCGGATGGCAACCAACTTTACTCTAAATCCGGCTTAAGCCGGGCTGGCTCCCCCCCCAATCCAGCCCCCCCCCGGAATTCCGCAGACGGGAGCCCCCCCTGAGCTTTGCCCGGAGGCCACCCGAGGAAAGGCGGCGGGGGGTCGCCAGGGCTGCCCGGAAGGAAGCGGAAGGCCGGGGGCGGCCAGAGGCGAAGCCAGCCCAGCCTCCCCCTTCCCGCCGCTGGAGGAGCCGGAGGAGGAGCGCGGGAGCGGCGCAGGAGGAGACGGAGGCGCCGCCCGGTCATGGCAGCGCCCAGCGCTCCCGCGGACAAAGGCAGCCGCCGGGCCGGGAGCTGAAGCCGCCGGGGGAGCCCCCGAGGAGGCGGGCAGGTGAGTGCCAGGCTCCGCGTGGCGTCCCGTCCGCCCTGGGCGGCCTCCCCCGCCTGGCCCGGGCGCTGCGAGCCGAGCAGAGGGCCGGGGGAGGGTCTGCTCGGCCGAGGGTGCAGGCGAGAAGCCCCCCCCAAAAGGCCAAATGCGCTCCTTGCGATAATGGGGGGGGCAGGGATAGAAGCCCATTAACCGCGCGCCCCCCAAATCTTCCCCAAGCCCAGCGAGCGCTGTTGGTCGGTGGGAGGTGCTGGGAGAGCCCCGTCTGAAGAGCCAGGCTTGGGGTGGGGATCCCGGGGATTTCTGCAGAAAAGCCCCCGTCTGACCCTCTTTCTGGGGGGCTCCCGGAATAGAGCTCCGATGGGAAGGGGCTGCCTGGGACGAGAAGGGGCTCCTCTTCTGCCCACCCCCAGCCCAGGAACCTCCAGTCCGTGGGGCGGCTGGTTCTCCAAGGCCCGGCCCTTGCTGCTGCTTCTTCCTTGGAGACCCCCCCCCCTTTGCTCTCCCAATGGATAAATCATCCTCGTGGTGATTTTGTCCAGAGGCTTTTGAGGAGAGCCCCTGGGGTCAAGCGATGCCAGTTTATAGACAAATGCCACGTGTATGTATAAATAGATCCCCCCCCTCGCTCCTCTGAGCTGCCTTTGGTTTTCTTCCTCCCATTTCCAGCAAGCAGGCCAAAATCAGAACGGCAGATTTTGAGGGCTGCCCCCATAGCTTGTTGGTGGGACACACCTTCGTGTCTCTTGGGCTTCAGAGACGGGTGCAAGGCTGGCCTTGTGTGTTTTCTGCCCTGCGGGTGCCTCGGTGCCAGGCCAGGCTGGCTCATGTTGGTCTGCAACTATCTAACAAGGTTGCTGCTTCCGAACAATTAAGTCGACATTCAAACTCCTTGCCCCGACTTCGCTTCAGCAGCCGTTACTTTGGAAGAGGATAAATGTGGGTGGCAAGCAGGAGAATTACTCAGTCCCGGGTGGACAGGGATGGTCCGGAGGGGGGAACTAGCTGACCAGCGCTCTGCTTTGCTCCCTTGCTAGGTTTGGTGGAATCACCGCCAGCCACATTTTCCCCTCCTAGTCATGAGGCTGTCACGGCCCTTCGATGGCCCGGGGGCCCCTGGATTTATTTATTTCCCCTTATTACTTTTAAGTAACTCAAAGCAGTGAACATACTACATATAGTTCTCCTTCCTCTTCTTCTTCTTCTCCCCATAACTCTTATGAGATGGTGAGAGGGATTGGCCCAAAGTCCCGCAGCTGGCTTTCATGTCTAAGGTGGAACTAGAATTCACAGACTCCCAGGGATTCCCCCAAAGTCACCCAGATGATATCTGGACTTCAACTCCCATAATTCTGGAAATTGAAGTCCAGACACCTTAACTGACCGAGGTGGAGAAACATGCTATAGAGCACGGGTAGTCAACCTTGGCTCTTTTATGACTCGTGGACTTCAACTCCCCGAATTCCTGAGCCAGCTAAGAGGCAGCCATTTGGGGGGCTGCAAGACCCCAAAGGGCCCCTTTCCCACCTGGTGTTGATGGGGGCTGCTGGGACCCACCCCCCTCTCTCGCTTTCCCTTCCCAGGGATGCCCACCATGAAGCTGAACGAGAGGAGCCTCTCTTTCTACGCCACCTGTGCCTCTCCGGCTGACAACACCGGCTTCCTGCACAAGAAGGGCGAGCGCAACACGGCCTACCACCGGCGCTGGTTCGTGCTGAGGGGGAACATGCTCTTCTACTTCGAGGACCGGGAGAGCCGGGAGCCGGTGGGCGTCATCATTCTGGAGGGCTGCACGGTAGAGCTGTGCGAGGCCACCGAGGAGTTTGCCTTCGCCATCAAGTTCGACTGCCCCAAGTCCCGCACCTACGTGCTGGCGGCCGAGAGCCAGGCCGCCATGGAGCTCTGGGTCAAGGCGCTCTCCAGGGCCAGCTTTGGCTACCTGCGCCTGGTGGTGAGGGAGCTGGAGAAGCAGCTGGAGGAGATGCAGAAGGCCATCCCGGGCGCCCAGCCGGGGCCGAGACGGCGGCTGCTTTATCGGAAAAACAGAACGGCTCCCAATTTGGAACTGGCTGTTCTGCCGCGGGAGAAACCGGCCCTGCCCGTTTGCATCCCCGGGAAAGAGAACGGCTGCGCCTTGTGGAATAACTCGGAAGCCTCGGCCAGCTTGTCTCCTGCCTGCTCCGGCGGGGCCAAGAGCTACGATGGGGGGCTCAAGCCACCCCCGTTGCCCCCTCGGAGACGGTCCCTGCCGAGCGGCTCCTGCGGGACCAGCGGCCCGAACTCAGACAGCCCCTCGTCTCCAAGTGCGGTGTGTTTTTCCCGACTGCATGACTGGTATGGTCAGGAGATTGCTGAGTTGCAGAAGGCTTGGCTGGAGGGTCAGAAGGATAAGGACAGCAGCCTTTGAACCTTCCCCCCCCCCCCGATGGAGAGGCACCTCCTGGAAAAACTGAACTGGCTGAAAGGCAGCCACGCTTGGAAACCCACCAGCACCGTCCTCTTTGGCAGAGGCAGCTGCTGGGAACTTTGTCTTCGGTCTGCCGATAGCACCCTTCCGTGATTCATGGAAAAGTCGTGGCCGGTGCCAGCTCACATCCTCCCCCCCCTCCAGACACCCCCTCTCCTCAGCAGGCAATGCTTCCTAGTTCCTGGAGACCTCTACTGTTAAGGGATCACGATGAGATGTTGATGGAAATCAGACAAGGTTTTCCTCTGGAGACACTCACAGCCCCAGCGGGCAAAGTAACAGAAGTGAGCCGGGAGCCTCTTTCGATCCCTGGACGTGCAGAGGGTCATTTCAGGGAGGACATCTGCAGAAGAACTGGAGGACCATGGAAATGTTTGGGATTGGCTGGATGACTCCTCCAGGAGGACAGGAGAACATGTGATCCAGTTCAGCTAAAGGAGGAGAAGATCTCCACAAAAGATAATTGTGGGTGTGTAATGGGTAGTTCAAGAATGGGGACAAGATCAGGGGAGACCTCAAAACTGCTGCTCAGTCCCGAAGGCCTTTGGGTGGTCGCCATCCTGTAACCTAAACTCCCTCACAGGGTTGTTGGGAGGCTGGGAATCATCAGGGGGTGAGGTCCATGTATGCCCCCTTGGTCTTCTTGAAGGACAGGCGGGGTCTGTTCTTGCAGTCAAGAAACGGGGCAGCTGAAACAGGCTCCCTTTTAGCCTGCTTCTTCCAAAGCTGCCACACCGTCTCTCTCTACCTGACCCCTCGTAAGCATTTCCTTACCTGGAACAGGAATCTCTTCAGCCCCAACCTCACCGTTAACAATGGAGAGAGAGAAAATCTGTTTTCCCTGGAAAATTGGCTTTATTCCTTCTGCAGGACAGGAGTGGATAAAAGCAGCTGTTAACTAGGCGGCCCAAACCTTGAACGCAATAAACGGAGACATCAAGCCAAGTTGTTATAGAATGTCTGTATTTTCCTTTTTTAGCGGCGCTTTACAGAACGTAATAGGCCTTTTTCAGTATTTAACAAACTTCAGTCAATCTCGTAGAAATTGTTTCAAAGTACAGTACAGGAGCCTAGAAAAAAGGGGGGCCGACGCATCTCGCCGGCTTCAAATGCAGCCGGTCGCTTTCCAGGGTGGAGAACCAACACGTAAGTGCTTAGTTTAAAAAATAAAAATAAAAATCCTGTTCCACTAAAAGTAATTTTGAGCCTTTGGTGAAGAAGAATTCATGGACCCAACTCCACATTTCATTTGGATAGATAGAAGCTGAGTTTGTTCAGGGGGGTTCTAAGGTAAGTGAGACGTCCAGGTTTCCTTAGGTGAACTGGATGAAATAAGGAACATTAAACATATAAAATACTTTCAGTTCTGATAAAAATGCTCATAATGGGAGGGCAAAAACACATTTTTTGGGGTGTGGGGGAGTTGAGCGGCTTCTCTTTCCCTGTTTGTAAATGAGGTTCAAAAAGGTTTCATCCCATCTGGGGGAATAAATCAACAGCAGGCTGAAAAGCTTGAGATCACTCAACTTAGTTAAAAGCTGGAGAAGACCCGGCGGCCATGGGGGGTCTCTTCAAATTATGAAAACGTCTGGTGGAAAACTTCCCTCGAAGGAAGAAACCTGCTAGAGTTCTGGGACAGTCCCATCAGCTCTTATTCTAGTTTTGAGATAAAATCAAATGGGTGGGAATTATAAATAATCTGGGAACTGGGGCTATTTGCATCCTTCAGATCCTTCCTTCCTTCCTCCTGGCATGGAAGATGGATCCAGGCAAGGCCGTTGGAGAAGGATAAGGAGCTGGGCCTGGATTTAACTTTCACCTTTTCTCCAAGCTTTGACTAACATTGGTGGGTGAATTGCACAGGATGCTATTATTATTTATTAAACTTATTTGCCACTACTCTAGGGGGCAAACCTTTTATAGCCAGCATTTTCTATTCTGGTTTAGTGCTCCCTGTGGCAAATGTGTCAAAATATCTGCTTTCCTCCAAAGCTGAAATGTTGAGCTAAGGGACTATGTTTATGCTTTTAAAAAAAGTGTCGTAATTCTCTTTAAAGTCTTCCCTGGCGTAACAGACGGTTTGATTTAGCAAGTGCACCTTTTTGAAACAAAAGATGCTTTTTTCCCCTTTCAGTGGGAAAGAAAAACCCCTTTCTGGATGCCCCTTTGTAAAGGAGAGAAAGTCATTCTCTGGAATTGGGGTGCATCTTGTTCAACAAGGCTCTTGAAAACCTATTTCCATACAACAGCATGCAACACCTCTCTTTTTTTTCCTGTGTTGCCCCCAAAAGAAAGAAGGAAAATAAAATGAAGGGAACATACCACTTGGGCTAAATAGCAGACTCACGATGGCACCGCGGGTTCCAAATTTAGAGTCTTCGTGGACTATAAGACAAAGTTTCTTGACAGGTTGTCGTGACGTGACGTCTTACAGACAAAACGCAGAGTCTGCCAATCAAGTTTCGTAACATTTTGGTCAGTCTCATAGTGCTTCTTGATGGCTTGGATCAATGAGCCAAGGTTCGTATTTTTAAAAATTTAATTTTTTTTCTTTAATCTCATCCAGTGGCAAACTACAAGACTTTCAGTGGGCATTTAATGATACAACTGATACAGTTTATAGCTATCTTTTAATATCAAAGCAGCTTGAGCTGTTAATAAATTCCAAAGTTTCCTTTTATTAAAATATCTAAAAGAGGTCTATAAATATTACTTTAATATTTTTTTTCCCTTCTAAAAGTGTTCTCAGTTTGTTCCTGTGTGTCTGTTTTCACATTTAAAACCCCCCAAAGTCAGTTTTAGGTTACTTTCAGGAGCTAAGAAAGAGCAACAATCTCTCGGGTCCGACAAAATGCAGCTGTCTCTTTCTTAGACTTGATGAAATTAATAAAATATGTGTGTGTGTGTTCATATATATATATTTATAGATCTATTTTTTTTTCTATACACTCTGCTAGGACTCCCTGCTTTGTCCACACGTTCTGTGGAGTTTAGAACCCGGACAACATAATTTAGGTGTTCGGTTTTGATTATTTTCTTTTTTTTTTCCATTTAGCCCTTCAAAATTCCCACTCCAGAGTCTCCTCGCGATTGGCGGCTCTTTCTAGCCGGTGAATTATGCTGTTGAGATTAGCCATTTTCTCGTTCCGCCGCTGGATGTTCGTAGTCAGTTTTGCGCTGGGTGGCGCGGTGCCCATATCTGCGGCCGGACTGGCACTCTGCCCTTTGGTGGCTGCAGTGCTCACTGGCAAGGGGGAGATGGGAGCTGAGGAGGATGGGACGGGGGAGACGGACATCAGGAGTCCTGGCGAGGAGGAGGCGGATGGAGAGGTCAGAGAAACTTCTAGGCTGCAACGGGAGGATTCGGAGGTGGATTTATAGCTAACGGGATCCGAGGGGGACCTCTCGTGGCTGTCGGTCTCCCCGGAGTTATGGAAACTGGAATAATCGTGGCTCCCGGGCAGGTGTGCCTTGCTACGTAGGGTGCTGGCCCAGGTGAGGTTGGGAGCTTCGTGTGGGCTCACACGACTGGGGTCTTTGGGGTCTTCCCCAGGGCTGGATCTGGATACGGGCGCTTCCTCGCCTTCCAGACTACAGGAGTCTCTGCTGCTGACCCGGTCGTCTTTGTCGCCAGCATCCAGCTGCTCCTCCTTGATTTCAACCAGCGCTTTGACTTCTCCTTGGCACTCAGCATTTCTGAAGGTGGGTTTGTGGTCCTCCCCTTCCGAGTCAGGGCTCTGGGGCTGGGCCACCTTGGGCAAAGAGCCAGCAGGGGCCATGCTCTGCTCTGCGTCTGTGTCGTCCTGGCTTCCTTCCACCAGCATCTCTCGGCGCATCCTAGACCTGCCAAAGAAAAAGGCCATGGGGTTCTTGCATCCACAGGAGACCCCAAAACATCGGCAAGAAAGATAAACACTAGGCCAATGTAGCTCAGGAGGTTGAGTTGCCTCAACTCCTGGACTGGATTTGCACAACACAACTGAGCCCTCCGGGGAAAGACCAGTGGACTGTTTTCTTTTAACATGGCTCAGGCTTGGTTGCTTCTTTGTGGCTTAGCGTGTTTTGCTGGGTTGCCCATGATTCTGCGTTTGCAGCCAGAAAAATGATTTAATTTACTAGGCGTAAGTATGTTACGCAAACAAAGCCATTATATGGATATAGAAAAAAACACGGGTTTTTTCTGAAAGTTACAGGTTTTTATCAAGAGCAGAAAAATCTGAGGGCGAGGCCAAAATTGCAATGGTGAAAGCAATACTCTAGGAGCCTAGAAGATTTTGTGGTTTCCTTCACATCCAACCAGTGTGTAGTGCTGGGTGTGAACTGTCTGTGAGTCGTGAACTATCTGACCCAAAAGAAAGTCTGCTGCAAAGCTTAAAGACCCGGGAAGTGTGGTGGAAGGTAGTCTGGATTCCCAGGAGAGAGGGGCTGCTTTCCAGAGGGCAAAGAGGCAGCCAAGCATGAAGAATTGACGAGAGTTACAACGGCTCCTCTCTAACAGTTCCCAGAGTATATTTATAGTTCTGCAAATAGTTGCTTTAGTCTGGCAAGATTCTGTCTAAAGGTGAAGAAGGATAAAGGAAACTAAAGTAATTCCACGTGCCCTTCTTGGTTCTTGGGTTCTGACACAAGAGGTGGCACAAGGCTTTTTACCTGTAATTGTGGAACCAATTAATCACCGTGTTGGTCTTGAGGTTGAGCTGGAAGGAGAGCAGCTCGATGGTCTGCTGGGAGGGGTAGGGTTCCAGCTGATAGGCCCTCTTCAGGGTCTCCTTCTCCTCTGGAGCCAAGACCACCCTTGGCTTCTTGATCTGCAGGAGGCTGAGGTCTTGCAGCTGAAGGCTGGGACTGGGGCACTCGGAACGAGGGTTGGGAGACTCGCTGTCCGAGCCAGCGCTGATCAGCCCGTAACGACGCTTCAGATACGCTACAGATGGGAGAAAATCAGAGAAAGCCATGCATTCTGGGGGAAGTCACATCTTCACGTTTATAAATCCCAATCCGGCCGTGGCTTTCAAGACGTTGCCACAGATCCATGGAATACAGGTGGTGCTCAAGCCCAACATTTCTGTTGCTAAGTGAGACCTTTGTTAAGTGAATTTTGCCCCATTTTATGACTTTTCTTGCCACAGTTGTTAAGTGAGTCACTGCAGTGATTAAGTTAGTGACACAGTTGTTAAATGAATCTGGCTCCCCCATTGACTTGGCTGGTATGATCGCAAAAGGGGATCACGTGACCCCGGGACGCGACTGTCGTAAATATGAGTCAGTTGCCAAGCGTCTGAATTTTGATTACATGACCACGCACAGGCTGCAGTGGTTTTAAGTGCAAAACCCGGTCATAGTTCACTTTTTTTCAGTGCCGCTGTAACATTGAACGGTCACTAAATGAACTTGTAAGTCAAGGACTACTACTTGTAATCAGTAGCTGCTCACGGAAAGATAAAATCTACTTCACCAAAGGGAGGGAGGGAGGGAGGGAGGAAGAATACACCACTAAGCAGCTGAGTGCTAGAAGTTATAGGAAATTAATCATGGCAGGATGTGAGCTCGCTTGTAGACCAGTCATCACAAAATAATCACAAGGCCTGACAGACACCCCACGTAAGCAGCATCCCTTTTTGGCAAGCAAGAGACCCAAGGAAGTTATTGACACAACCTTGCCCTCTTGACCCTTCCCTTAAACAACTTAAAGGGGATCAACTAAGATTTGTAGGTGGGTGTAGCTCCACCACCTCAGGTAGTATCTCCAGAGGAGACGTGACACTCGACCCACTACAGGCTACCACACCCAACACATCTCTCTTTCCCGCTGCATGCCAGGAATGTGAGAAATGAGGGCGCCTCACCTTTCTTCTCCAACTTTTTCATGTCCCGGAGCTTGTCGACATTGTGGGGGTCATTCAGCCAGAGTTGCATGCGGACAAACGGCTCCCTTCCCTTAAGACTCAGCTTATGCCAAGGTTTGGGCCTTGAAAGGAGATCCGAGACTGACCCCTGCGTCAGGCCCAGGATGCTCTCTCCAAAAAGGCGCTGACCTAACCAGGGAGAGAAATTGGAAACTGAGATCGCAGCTTATGTGCGAAGATAAATTCGTCATTTTAATCAGGGAAGACATTCAAGCCCTTTAAAAGTTGGGGGTAAATTTGGTTTCTTTTTATACACAGTCTGGCCTCAGGCTTTTTCACTCTTCCAAAGGGCTGGGGAGAAGCAGACCGAGTTTGTCCTGCAGGAGTTAAAATTTTACTCCAGGCTAATTCCAACTGATAAGGAGAAGAATTCTACAATCAACACCCAGCCACAATGGTGAGGATCTCAATTTAAACCTCCAATTATTACCTGTTTCTCTGGAATGATAGAGCCTTCTCAGTCCCTGACCTAATTCCCATCATAATCCCTTTGGGAACATACTACAGAAATACAAATACGATTAGCGGTATCCCTGGAACGGAGAAACCCCTCAAGAGCTTTTAGTACATCCTCAGTGCTGGACCCCAACGTGTATTCTAATTAGATGGCCTCCTTCTGCCTGGCGCTTTTTAATTTAGTTATCTCCACCACACTAAATTGGCAGAGGAGAAGCTGCCATTAGGAGACTGCAAAATATGCATTACTCAAATTAAAGCAAATGGCTATGAAGTCCCCGATCCCTGAAATTTCTGGACAGGATAATGTCTGATCAAGTTCCTGGTGGAAACATCTTCTTGGCCTCCATCATAGAACAAGGCAATTCTCTTGGACACCCCCCCCAAGACTACTGGGAACAGGACCACCTGTTGCTTCATACCAAGATTATTGTCGGTTAAGACCTCCTTGACCTTCTTAGTGATGGAGTAAGTGTCCAACTCGGGGGACATAGCCACGATTTCCTGAATGCCAACCGAGTTGTGATGGTTGGGGCACATTTTGCCACTCAGCAAGGAGCCGGCTTTGCTTTCCGGCTGCTGGTTTTCTTTGCTGCTTTCCAGGGCAAGACTCAGGGGCTCCAGAGGACTTTTTTCTCGCTCAGAAGGACTGGCTGGCGGGGAAGGAGAAGACTGAGACTCTCCAGGGCTGGCTGTGAATGAAAAAAGAAAGAAGGGAGGGAGGGAGGAGCTGATGAGATCAAATAAGAATGATTATTATCCAATAATAATTGGAGAATTGGTTCCAAGATTGGAGAAGACCTCCACAGCCCTTGTGAGGACATCTTTGCAGCACCATAACTGATTTAACTAGCTAAAAGGCACTGCAGGAGAACAATAAATAGGGTGGCCAAAGGTTTGGGGGGTTGTGGCTGCCGAGCTGCCTACCCTGAGGCAGGCTGGCCTGCTGGCTGATGTTTTGGCCTAGCTGGTCGGAGAGCCAAAGTTGCATCCGGATAAACGGTTCCCGTCCCTTCTGGGTGAGCTTGCTCCACGGTTTAGGCCTGGACAACATGTCGCTCACGCTGCCTTGTGATAAGCCCAGCACCTGAAGGAGAGGAGAGAATGTTGACCTCCCTTCTCAAGCCAGCTAACCTGGCTTCCTCACGACTGACGATTGAGCTACCTTCTCCCCAAAGATGCGTTGGCAGATCCCGTTCTTGGCCAACTTCTCCTTGACTTGCCGTGTGAGTTCCAAGGTGTCCACTTCCTTGTACATGTACATCTCGTACTGCTCTGGGGTCAAGGGCGGGACGGTGGGCTTGAGAGTCCTCGGCACATAGGAGGGGTAGTAGGACAAGCGCCCGGTTCCTGGGGTGTCCGAGCCCACCCCTTCTGACTTTACTTCTAACACCCGATGGGGTTCATCTTCTGAGGTGGGCAAGTCCTCCTCGTTCAGACCAGAGTCCCCAGGTTCACCTCGTGGCCACACTCGGCCGTTGGCCATGCTGGAGTAGCTGGATGAGGAAGAGAGGGAGGGGGACACCGAGGTGAGAGGCCGGCTGAGGAGGTTCCTGTCGGAGGCCCAGTGCTGGTCAAAATAGGAGCCGGCGTCCCCAATCTCAGACTTGACCTTGCGGATGATGTTCTGCACAAAGGCTGCAGGGGAGAGCACCGCCAGAGGGGTCTGGGTCACACGGCTGCTGCTGCCGCTGCTGGTGTTGGGGCCCAGCCCACCCCCTTCTTCCTGCTTGATGTAGGCACGGACAATGTTCTGGCTGAAGGAGGGCAGAGGGGAGGGCTCGGCAGGGGAGGGCGTGGAGACGGGTTGGCCGGGGCTGCCGGATTCTATCTCAAGCAAGGCCTGTTGCTGAGCTTGCATCTCGCGGCGGGCCTGTTCCAGGATGTTCTTGATGGCGTCTTCGGAGTTGCTGGTGCTGACCCCATTGGTGGCCACCTGGGGCGTGGAGGTGCTCTTCGCCTCTCCTATGGAGCAGGGCAAAAGAGAGAAGAACGTGGGATGGAGTCCCACCAAGTTATCGTGAACCAAAATCAACAGGAGCTACTTCGTGGGAGCTACTCTGTGTCTGTGATGTCTTAGGATGAGACATGCGACCCCTGGGGTCAAGCACAGCCCTTTTTTGTTCTCCAGACAATTCTGTTCCTTTGGATGGACTACTGTGACTCTTACAACCCAACTTCAGATTCTGCAGACGATCTTTTCAAATGGGCAGAATCCACCGTTTCTGAAGCAGCCCAGACCACTGACTTCATTCATCTAATAATGCAATTGACTTTTCCCCATCATTTCAGTCAATTGAAATCATTTGCGAATTGATGCTGATGACGTAGGGGCGTCAATTACGCAAATGAAGTAAGAAGCTGTCAATTACGTCAATTTGAATTTAAGAGAATTTTGACTGGAAGGGACATACTCTCCCGTCCCCCCCCCATGGCCTTTTTTTGAGGTTTTATGGCCCATCTCTGCTTGTACACAGAATTATTTTCTGTTACTACTAACCCCAGGACAGGTTGCGGAATTCCTATATAAAAGGAATCAGCAGAGGGCAGCAGACGACACCTTAATTCCAACTGACTCAAGTAAAGGAAGTTAGTTATGGCAATGCTTAGAATATTTAAAGACTGGCTCTTACTTCATCAAGAGAGACGAAGTAAGAATTTATTTAAGGAAGAATTTAAAAATGCATCTGATTAAGGGCACAAAGACAACGGCCAAAGTTAAGAAGAACTTAAAGCACCCAAGTCTCATCTTCCAATCTGGGCAACGGCCCCTTAATTTTAAATTTCAGAGGGCAAGATGTACCCCAAAAAGCCTCCACCATCCCCATGGGCCCCTTACCTCCTTTCTGGGACTCAATCTCTTTCTTGGCCTGCTCTAAGATACTCTTGATGGCGTCATCTGAACCCGTTTCTGGAGTTCTAATCCTTGGTGTAATGCTTCCTGATCAAAGAGAGAGAATAGCAAAGACTATCATCTGCCCTGGAACAGCTCTATTCACTTAAAGTCAAGGAATTACGGACATCAGGGATCCTCTTTTTTTAAACGTGTGTGCATTTGGTGGGTCTCCAAAATCGAGCTGTATCCTACTTCAAGTCAATTAGTGGTAGCAGTATTATCTTAATTAAAACTCACTTAATTTGCAGAGGAGCTTCTTGTGTAACCATCTTTGAGCCTGGCTCAGTTCTAATCATATTATTGTTCTTCAACCTGCAGAATGCACACTGCCTTGAAGAGGGCCGGGCCAGGCCACAAGGGGCTCACCCGCGAACATTCGCACAGAGGAGAGAAAAGCCAGGTGCCCCAAGGAGACCAAAACTGAGGCTGACGTATCTCAACTGGCTGCTCTTGGCTTAGGAGATCACGGAGAAGGTAGGAAGGGAGGGAGAACTTGGGTTTCAGAGGAGGAGGAGGAGGAGGAGGAGGAATTGAACTTGTGCAAAATGGTTCCTGCCCCCCCAAGCGGCACCCATCACCTCCCACCCCAACGGGTTCCCCACCTGGACCACTCACCTCTCTGGCGCACCTGGATCGTTCTGAGCGCCAGGACGTTCTGCTCGTCGGAGAGGAACTGCTTCATCTTAATGAAGGGCTCTTTCCCTTTGACGGTCAGCTTGCGCCAAGGCTTGGGCCGGGCCAGGATCTCACTGACCGAGCCCTGTGAGAGGCCCAGGACGTAATGTCCAAAGACGCGTTGACCAATGTTGTGCTTCAGCAACTGCTCCTTCACCTGAAAAGCAATCTCCGCCGTGTCCAGTTGCTCCTCATCGGCTGAGCTGGGATTGCTGCCTTCCGACTGGTCACTTGGGGGGCTCCTGTCGTTGGCCAGGCCGGGGTTGGCGGGCAGCACCAGCCCTTTGGCAGCATAGAAGGCGGAGGGGAAGCTGCCCGTGCTGCTGTTCTCGCTCTTGTAGCCTGGGGGGCCCATCTGTGGTGGGGAGAGGGGAGTCTCAGGCTCGGGGTTCACCAGCACCTGGCCCCGAAGACACCAATGCACAGGTCCCCAGTACCTCCGGAGCCACCGTGGGGGCCAGCAGGGGCTGGAGGAGCGGAGGGGAGGTGGAGTCTTCCCTGGGGTTGTGCAGGAGCTGCTGGGGAGACGCGTAAGATTGCTCGGGGCCCATGGAGTCCTTCACCGATTCGTCTTCCGAGGGATCCTCCTCTAGAGACCAAAGAGAGGAACACACACACACCAACTATAGCTTCCCTGGACCATGCCGGATGAGGATGATGGGATCTGGAGAGCACTTGTTTATGGGCAGCTAGGAACATTGGACAGCCTGGGAAAGCCGGAGGAAGGAAGTGGTCCCCTCTCAGATGCCCACCCATGGTTTTTATAAGGAAGGTCCCATGGTTTATTGATTTAAGGCATTTTTACAGCTCTTTCAGCCAATTGGAGTGATTTATAGAAATACTGGACAATGCCCCAGGAGTGATGGGAATTGAAATCCAATGCATATCTTGGGAAGTCTCCTAGGGTTCAGAGCAGTGTTTCTCAGTTTTGACAACCGAAGATGTGTGGACTTCAACTGGCTGGGGAATTCTGGGAGTTGAAGTCCACCCATCTCCAGGTTGCCAAACTTGAGAAACACTGCTCTAAAATATCTGGAAAGGCCCCTGCCCCTGCCTTAAACCTTCCCTCCTGCAGCTTCCACAATTTTAACTGCTGAGGTTGAAGAAACACTGTTCTAGTCCATCCCCTTAACAGACAAGGACTCTCTGTCTTAACACATCTTTTTCCCCTTCAATCCGTTTGCCATCCTACCAGGGTTGGTGGTGAGGTTTTGTTTTTCCAAGAGATACTTCCGAGATGGGTAGAAGGAATCTTTTCCCAGAAAGAGTGTGTCGGAGGGTTTTGAGAGACTCTAAATACACAACAAAATAAGAGGTCTAAGGATTAGGATTCCTTCCTTCCTTTCATCCATTTTTGTTTTAAGTTCTGCCCTGGCCACCCGAAGCACCCATCAGCCAAAAATACTCTTATGCATAACGCAAAGATCATCAACAAAAATAACTCCATGAAAGCGGCAACTTGTTCCAGTCAACCCTAAAAATGTGGCAATTAGTTCAGCCATCTGACCGGGCACCACTTTCCTGTTTCTGCATAATGGCTGTGCAGAATTTCCTGTTCTTCCCGGCTTGGAGTACCATCTGGTGGAGTAGCAGGGGGTAAATGCAAGAAATCAACAAAGCCTCCAAATTACCAACTCAAGAATTGGAAGACTGGTGGATCCAAAGAGTTTAAATTAAAAAGATCCACGGAAGGACAGGGATCTTTCCCAGCAAGGATCGGCAAAACCTCAGGAATTATTTAGTCTGTATCCACCGAAAATACTTCTGAAGTGAGCAGGTTGCAGGCAAAAGTCTTCCCAATTCTTAATGACGGGGTCTATCTGAGAAGAAGACCCTAAAAGTCCTAGTCCTAATGATCTTTCTTTGTTTCTTTCTTTCTTTCTTTGTTTCTTTCTTTCTTTCTTTCTTTCTCTTTCTTTCTTTTTTTCTTTCTCTTTCTTTCTTTCTTTCTTCCTTCCTTCCTGTCCTTCCTTTCTCTCTCTCTCTCTCTCTTTCCTTCCTTCCTTCTTCTTGGTGCCTAGTGCACACTGCAGAATAACCTGATCGAGGCTGCAGCTAAGGTGTGTGCACCTGTCGGGAAGGTTTCCAACTTACCTGGGACAGGATGCAGTCAGAGGAGGCCAGCTTCATTGCTTTCAAAATGCTGCAGAAGAAAAGGGGGAAAATTAGGAGTTACAAAGAGCTAATGAATCCAGGTGATGGGACATCCTTGCCTGGACCACCTCGGATTTCCACTCCCACAGACAGATTCCCTGAATCCAGAGAGATCTCCTCTCCTTCTCCTGGGAATAGAGCTGAGAAAGGCCTGGCCATTTAGATCTAAGCTTTCTGAGGATGGACTGAGAATCTCGCAAGGTCAGCTGATAGCTCCTGCAGAGAGGTGGACCTTTGAGAGAACCCAAAGTGGGGGGGACCCTACCTCAGTTCTGTCTTGATCTCTTCGTAATCGGATTGAGCACGAAGTTTTTCTTCCAACTTCTAAAGAATATACAAGTGCAAATAGAGAGACACACAAATAGAAATGTTTAAAAATTCTTATTCAAAGGCAGAAGCTTATGGCCTGAAACAAATCTTAACACGAAAAGAAAGGCATGGCTCTCGTCCACATATTCCAAAATATATTGAACTGCTTAGCATATCATTAACTCAGCTCAAATATTATTCAAATGTTATGTATGTGCGCTATAGACAATGACACCTATTCGCAACACCCTGCATTCATCTTTAACCAAGTTATTGGACAAAGTATGTAATTGCTGATTTGACCTAGATTAAAACATATGGAAAATCCTTCCATCCCGTTTTAACCCTTGAAAAATTAATCCAACTCTCTTTCTCTTTTAGCTTTAGGGAGGCGAAGAGAAAGGTTTTAATTTAAATCACCCCACACCCAATTCTTGGGATTATGCCACAAAAATGCCACAAATAATGCCACAAAAATGATACCCACTTCGATGGCCTCATTTTTGGCTGCCAATTGCCGTTCTAGGTCTGCAATTTGATTGGCCGAAGAATCTTCCATTTCTTGCATGGAGTTTTGCAAATGTTGAATTTCCTTGAGAAGTCGGAGAACTTCCCGATCCTTGGCGGCGAGTGCTGCCTCTAGCCGTGGACCCGGACACAAAGAATAATTCACTTTATCCTGCAAAAAGAAGGCATCTCAAGGGAAAAATGTACTAATTCTGAGGATTTTTCTAGCTAGAAATAACAAGGACTACATCCCGGTTTGTATTAGGTCAATGCCAGACAGGCTATTTCACGCATCCTTATGAAAGACACATATCTGCACACCAAAACAGATCAGTTGGAGGCCCTCACTTCTTGCTAAGCCCTCACTAGAGTCATCTCCAACTTCAGAGGAGGCTTCAGCAGAAGATTCTGCTCTCTCAACAAGCAGGAGACCAATCTGGAGGCCTCATGTTATCTGCTCCTCTTCTAAAGCTGAAGTAGGTGCTGAAGGTAGACACAAGACTCTAGCAGCAAATGGGGGTCTCAGCTTAAGACTTGGAAGCCAACACCAAAACTAAATTGTTTCTCAACATTAGATTAGCCTGGTCTGCATCAAGCTGGTTGCAACCAGAATTCGTAGAGTGAGGAATCTGGAAATGGAAGATTTGTGCTTCTGGAAATTCCCGCGGGAGCCTGTTTTCCTCATTTGATTGATCAGGATCCCCTTCTGGTCCTCACCCCACTTGGTCCTTGGGGAGAACAGCAAGCCAAGCGAAGGGAGCTGTTTACAGAGGAAAGCTGTTCCCGCAGGCTGTCCACCTCCCTCTGGGCAGCCTCGGCTCTCTAGAAAAGAGAAGAATCAGAACCATCAGAACTTTGGGCTGAAACATCACACCAACCGTCCATTTCCCGAGTCTTTTAAGTCGTTTTCGTTGGTAAGTCAAAGCCCTCTCCCCACGACCGCCTGTCGCTCACCTGGTTGGCCTTTTCAAGATTTGTCATTATCATGGCCACTTCATCTGTCCTACGGCAAGAAGACAAGAGTTATGGTTGACTTCCAAAGCATCTACAAAGGAAACTAGGAGTAGATGCCACCATTTGTTTCTAAGAGGAAAAGAAGCATGAACCAAACAAAAGAGGTCCTCAGATTGTCATGGGAAAAGCCAACATCCAGAGATTCTGATCTGTCCTAGTTTAAGTTTCCAATAAATCTGGCTTCATGGTGACTTAAATGTCAGATAGTGGGGTGGTGGGAACTGCATGAACCTCAAAACTCCTGGGGCCTTTTTCTCCTTTTACTTTGAAAAAGGATGGAAACCAGCAGCCAAATGCCTGTCCACCCCAGTCCTCCTTCCATGCCTCCTCATTCAGCACATATGAGCCCCGGTCTTGATCAAAGTCAACGTTATTTCACGCCATGTGCCAGAAGGGTGCACACGACAGGATCAAAGTCCATCTGTTTTGGTAGGATATGATTAAGTGTTCTTAGCACCGTCACGTAGGAGAGAAGAGACCATTGGGGATCATAGTCATGGCGGAACATCAGTGAGGATGCTGGAAATATTTGGAAGCAGGAAGGAAGAAACCGAGCACACACACACACACATACACACAACGTTACGAACATTCCCCCCCCCAGCTTCTACAATTTCTTAAGCCTCTCTATTTGTGAAGGCCTTTTCAAGTGTTCATGAGAACTTTCTCCTACTTAGACACCAGGCAACCCTCACAACCTGACCGGGAGACATCAGGTGTAAGGACAAGCATATCTGACAAAACAGAACAAACAAACCAACTTACTTGGAAGCTGCCTCTTCGTCATATTTACATCGCAGGTCAACCAGCTCCGTCTGAGTGGCTTTTAGTGCTGGGCAGCAATGGGGAGAACATAAAAACAGAGAGTAAGAAATGTTCTTCTAGTGGACTGTGCTCAAAGAATATTACTCAGGGCTAGTAAATATTCAGTCATAAACTGGATAATTAGGGGGAAATGGAGACGTTTGTAGACCCATTGTCTCCACCAATTATCTCCAGGTCTTTCTCAACCCACTCAAGGCTTAGAATTGAGCAGAAGTCCTGCCAATGTGGCTACGGATCCTGGCATTTGCCAGGCACCATCCTGGTTAGCGTTGCTCCCTTTTAGGATCATGGATTGAGAGAGATTGTGAGCCTTATTCAAGTTAGTTGAGTTCAGTTAAGACCAACATTTCTGGATGAACTCAAAGGATATATTTCATTCATTAGGCAGCAGAAGTTTACATTTCCAGAATTTTTGAATACGAACACTCTCTTTCTCTCTTCCATGTGGGCTGACTCAACCAGTCTGAGTCAAATGCTAATTTCAGATAAGGGCTGGATATCATAAAAAAGAGAAGGATTTGAGAGACAGGAGGAAAGAGAGAGGTTGGCCATCACTCCAATGTCTGAGAGAAAATGCCAGACAACAAGAGAAGCAAAGAAAATTGGACTCAGCCCTTCGAGTGAAGACATGATCTTTCAACAGGTGCAAAAAAGCAGTTTTTTTTTCTTAAGAGCTAAATGGAGCAGAGAAAGTGCCATGCTGAGCTTTACAAAAGCCACGAACCCACCAAGAATTAACATGGCTCAGGAGAAAGCCGTGCGTGGCAAATGCTCCAGCAACTTCAGCTGTGTCTCCATTGATCTTTAAAAGTACCTGAATGCAGGACTTTGATCTTCTCTTCTGCTTCCCCCAGCCGGCTGGCCAAAGTGAACTGGGCTTCTTGAAGGCCCCTAAGACAAGAGATGCATCTCCTTGACTTGATGAGGCACCCACCTCCAGCCTGAGGTCCATCGAGGGAACCTCCCATTCTTCCCAATTTGTTTGCATAACTTGGCTGCTTTTGCAGAACATCTAGAGAACTTCCTCGATTTGAAAGAATTAAACGGAGAGGCCTGTCTAGAGATATACTTGAATTCTTTAAAAAGATAAGTTGGGTTTTGTTCACAAAGGAAACCTCTGAAAAGTACCCAACGTTGACAGATTTTGATTCATAGATTTTTTTTATGGTGTATGGTCGGGTCTCAATGGCAGCAAAAGAGCCTCATGAAATTGTAGAGGAATGGTCTTCCAAGACCTCTGAATCTCACTGAGGAAGGAGCAATGATTCTTACGTAGCATTGGTCCTTCCTTCTCAGGCCGCATAAATGTTGTTGCAAGGTAGACCATGGAGCTGAATCGACCTTTCTAGATCTTGGGAAAGGTAGAAGATGGGACCTGAAATTCAGGCTGGGATTAACCACCTCCTGCCCTCCTTTCCTCTTTATATATATATTTTTATATTTTCCTTTGAGGAGGACAACCCTCCTCTCTACCTCCCCATCCTCCCCTCCCGGCTCATACTCACGTACCTTTGCTTCTCCACCTCATTTCTCTGCAACAAGGAGTCGGTCAGCAACACTTTGCTGCCCAGCCCAGCAAGCTTGGCCTCTGAAACTGCCAGTCCACAAGGGAGGGCTCCTTCTTTTTGCTCTGGGGGGGGGGGAAAGAGGAAATATACATCAGCAACAGGATCGGTCTAAGCTAGACCCCGGTCTCAGCTAGCTCTCCTTGCTGTCTGCCTCCTTCAGATCATTCCAGCTGTGGGCCACTGGCCCCGGATCTGCCAGGCTTACAGAATGACAAAACCCGTCCCTGCACTTCCAAGCACAGCCTTGAAGCACCGATGGGCCCTGACTTGAGACTCTCGGGGGTTTTCCCCCGAACTTCTCCCTGTACTGCAGCAACTTGCCTTGGAGTTGGCTGCTTGATGCCGGCAGTGGAAGAACTAGGACCATTTGGGTACCTTTGGGGAACAGCGGCTCCTTCTTCCAGGGCCTGTTCAGCTCCTTCAACGGGGGTTTCTCGGGGCCGAGGCAGTGAAGGGGCTGGTGCCGCCCTTCAAGGGTGGGCTCAGGGTCTGCTGGAGGGAAGAGGAGAAAGGCAGAGGTGACCTTGGAGGCTCTGCAGAAGGCGCCCTCCATGCACCTTCCCAAAAAAAGGGGGGGACAACATTGATGCCGTGTTCCTTCAGAGGAGGAAGCCATTCGCTCAGCCCAGACCTCCAGAGGGAGAGAGAGAAAATAGATGATTAGATACGATAGATAGATAGATAGATAGATAGATAGATAGATAGATAGATAGATAGATAGATAGATAGATAGATAGATAGATAGATGAGAGAGAGAGAGAGAGAGAATCCCTCCAAAAGGATTTTAAGTCCTCGCTGTACAAAACGTTTGTGTGTTATTCAGTCTCCCTGGTCCTATTAAGGGGGACACGGTGGTGATGGGACTTCAGACTCTCAACAAGCCTAGGCTGCTATTTTCTCAAACATTTTTGCCACCCCCGAAATAGAACATCCCCAACACTGGGATGTTCTTCGCATTGAACCAGAGTCGCATGCTTCATTTCTCTCTTGCAATCCGAGGCCTCAGCCTAGAATAATGGTGGGAAAATTTCCCACGGGGGTCAGAGTTGATAAGCCAGGTCCGGAAACCCAATCTTGAGGGGATGGATGGCTTTCCCCCACCCCATTGACCCTGACCTGAAAAGAAACGGAAAAAGAAGCGAGAAACCAGCCCCATTTTTTCACATTTATTAAAAATGATCCAGGCTTGTAAATTAATTTGTTTGTGTCGTACAATGGCAGTGCAGATGGACTCATTAGCATGCACACAACAAATAATTAAGGATGCATTTTTTAGCTGGCCTTCCTAATGGGGTTTGCTGGGTTAATTATGTCAGTGCATAATTACCTTGGTCTGGGAGGCGTTCGGGAGCCCCTCCCCAGCCAGGCATGCTGGCTAATGCTGGTGGGCTGCCCTGGGAGAGGAAGGGGCCTCTTTGAAACACACCTCCTTACTCTGCTCTCTGCCCACCACTGCCTAAGCAAACAGGCATTATCGGCAAAACGTGCCGTTGGATGGAAACAGTGGCATTGAGGGGCCCTGCCAGAGCAGACGTTCCCGAAGGCTGGCACGGAAGGAATTTCGGAACGTGGCTCTCTTAGCCACGGACAAGCTCTGTCCCTGGTTCCCTCCCTCCAGCTTTTAACCTAAAGCGTGGCAGCGGATGAGAAGGGTTGTGTGAAAAAAAAAACAAAAAACAGTAAAAAGATGTCATCTTCCTCACAGCTACGGATTTAATCATATGCATCGCAGATTGAGCAGAGTAATCAATCAAATCTGTTTTAAATCAATGCAGAGTTCTTAATGAGAGGAGAGCTTTGCCCAAACCTAGGGGTGGGGGGAATCAGCCAAATATACAGCAAACCCATTTTTGTAAAGCTGAGCCTCGGACGTCTGGCTGGGCAGCCACTGTGGACCTCTGCAGCACAAAGATGCAGGATCGTTCGACCATTCAAGGTGACAGGATCTAAATCAGGGGTGTCCAACCTTGGCCACTTTTAAGACTTGTGGACTTCAATCCCAGCATAGCCGGCTGGGGAATTCTGGGAGTTGAAGTCCACAAGTCTTAAAGTGGCCAAGGTGGGACACCTCTGATCTAAATACTGCCTAGTTCTTCTAAATGTTTCAGCCTTTGTCTGAGCTTGGTCTGATGCTCGGGGGTGCCTGTTCAAACGGCGAGCCCCCAACAGAGGGTTCAGGGGGTGAAAGGTGTGCCGAGAAGTGGAGACCACAAATCCAGAGTGAATAAAAGGGCAGTTGTGTCTCTTGCCAAGAGCCCCCTTGTGGATTTATCAGCCGCAGTGGTGGGTCATCAGTAGGGAACATGGAGCGTAGCTGGTCTTGGAGCTGTGCAGAAAATAAAGCCCAGCTCACTTTACAGCTGCTAATAACATCTCAGAGCTAAGATAATGATAAGGACCATTAAACCACACGCTTCAAGGTGCAACTGATGAGGAGGGATTCAACCGCCAGGTCTTCCGGAGACGGAAGGAGCAGTTTTGACTTGAGGACAGAGCAAAGGTCCAGCCTTTCTCAGTTAGGGGGTCGCAAGCAGCCGTAGCAGGGCCAACGGTGAGGACGTGAAGACGAATCTTCCCAGTTGAGGTCACTGGCAGCTGGCTTCTCCCAACTGGATGTCCTTGGAAACCCTAGAACGTCCAGTTCCAGAACTGCAGCAGACCAAGAGATTCGGACTGAAATTCGTGTTCAATCCAGAAAGCCCACCTGGCGGCTTTGGGCCAGTTCCCATTTTCTAAGATCTCAGCAGTTTATTAGGAGGAGAGCAAAATCTTGGAAGGAGGGGAAATGGGAATGGTTCTTTTTATTTCCCCCAACTGTAGCCACAACAGGTTCCCAGTTCAGCTGTCCAAGAGACAAACTGGACTCCACTGGGAGTCTTAAAATACCCTCTCTGCTTTCTGCCTCTGCCTGCAGCCGGCCACAATCTGTAGCTGCCTCCCATTAAGAAATGTCTGCGTACGTCGTCTGTGGTTAAGGCAGCTCCAGCCACCGCCTGCCCTGAGCAACTGTGGTTCCTGAGAGGGTCTCCTTCCAAACACACCCAGGACAGGAACTCAAAGTGTGGGTCACTCTCTGCACCCAGGAGGCAGATCTTCCCACAGGCAACCAGGACACAAACAGACATGCCCACCCAGGCTCTCTGTGCCTGGCCCAGGAGATGCCCTAATGAAGCCATTCGCACGGGGGCAGTTGCTAATGTCCGGACAAGCAAGAATCCATCTCTAGGAGGTCTCAGCTGTCTTCACTGTGATTGTGTTGACTGAAAGAACCTGCTGGTTCAGATCCAAAGTTGCATCTTCCGTTTGCAATTTTGGGGACTCTTAGAAGCAGGATTGAAGCTACACATCTTGTGGTCAACCTCCAACACCGGCCATTTGGAGGAATCCAGCGTCTTCTTTGGACATTTCACTTAACAGCTAAAAAGAGCTCATTTTATCAAGCCTAAGGGGTTTATCCAGCCATACGTAGACGCTGGCAAACTCCCCAAATTTCCAACTTGAAATCCCAGGAAGCTCCATTCCACCTCCTGTGTAAAGTATTTAGGTTTCCCTCACATGCACAGCCCGATCCTTACTTAGCAAACTATTCCCCCCCCCCCGCTGCGTTCCCGTCGAGAGGGAGCGATGCATGCCAAAGACAATGAAGAAATCAGTTGTCGCTGCCACATGAGTTAAAATGAGACTTAAATCAATCCATTCTCAACAATGACTTTAATTATGCTTTTAACATGATTTTACTGCTTCCTCTCCACCCTCCCTCTCCTCTCCATGTCCAACAGAGAGGCACGCCTCGCCCGCTTCCCCACGCCACATCTGGGTGAACAATATCAGAAAAAATTATGATATTTTCCCCCCTTCCTGTAATTACAGACGCACAATCCCGGGCTCAGTGTATCAAAACACTTGCTGAGCATCACACTTTTTCCCGGGTGAGATTTGCACAGACAGAAGCCATTCAAGCTTCAATAGGAAGACAAAAGGGAGGAGGAGGAGGAGGAGGAAGAAAGAAAGAAAGAAAGAAAGAAAGAAAGAAAGAAAGAAAGAAAGAAAGAAAGAGAAAGAAAGAAAGAAAGAAAGAAAGAAAGAAAGAAAGAAAGAAAGAAAGAAAGAAAGAAAGAAAGAAAGAAAGAAAGAAAGAAAGAAGGGCATGTACAAATCACCCCAGTAAGCCCAACTGGAATTAAAGTATGTATCAGATATTAGAACATGCAGGCATTTTTGCTGATTAAACAGAGGAACTCAGTCGGACTATGGCTACAACTCTGTTGTGGTCTAGAAACCCTGGAAGGTTAGGCGCCCCTCTGCTCTCCACCATTCCATTCCTAAGAGGGTCCGGTGCAACAAAGCTATTTTCAGGCCACAAGAGCCTGGGAGTGCTTTTCTCACTGGAGATTGAATCCCAGACCAGGAGTCACAAGTGTTCAGGGCCACCTTCCTCATATCCCTAAAGTTCTTGACTAGACCAAGAGTGCCTCCGAGGAGCGCAGTGCACATCGACCCTTTCCCAGCCTGCCAGAAGAAGGAGACCCAGCGTCCCTACCTGGTGCTTTGATTAACTGCTTGTAAACACTCAGGAACGCTGCCTCGGCTTCCTTGGTCCGTTTGCTGAGAGCGACCACCTGAGGGAAACATAAAAACAGGACCACAGTTGAGAAACCAGGGAGAGAAAGGGCACCAGCAGAATAAAAGCTGCACCTGGTTTGGGGAATCAACAAGGAAAAGTTGCGTAAAATTAGGAGATACCTCCAAGGTCCCTTCCAACTTTATTATTATTATTATTATTATTATTATTATTATTATTATTATTATTATTATTATTATTATTATTATTATTATTATTATTATTATTATTATTATTATTATTATTATTTGCAATTGCACATGTTCCCCTAGGAATCCAACCTCAACCTCAGCAAAGCTCTGGAAGGAAGGAAGGAAGGAAGGAAGGAAGGAAGGAAGGAAGGAAGGAAGGATAGATGAGACAAGGAAGGAAGGAAGGAAGGAAGGAAGGAAGGAAGGAAGGAAGGAAGGAAGGAAGGAGAGATGAGACAAGGAAGGAAGGAAGGAAGCGTTCTCCCACCCCCAACCCCTTAATCTTAAAAGGAAAAAAAAAAGAGATTGCAAATCTTTCACCCAAGACTGAATCTAAATTGCTTGTCATTCAGAGGGGACGCATCAGGCATTTACAATTCTCCAGTCACCACATCAAACTGCCTTTGCTGCCTCCCTCCCATTCCTGCTGGGCATTGCCTAACCTTAAGCATTCATGCATGTTTCTTTCGTTCTTTACATTTTCAGATGGAACAGAAATGTCAGCAAGGAATTCGTAGTCAGTTTCCACAAACCCAGAATTGGCCTAAAGCAGAAGCTTCTATTCTGGTTTGGTCGAAGTTATGAAACAGAGGAAGCAGATCCTCCAATACATTCATTTTTGGAAGTCCAGAAAGTGTGGTTCCAAAATTGTGAAGGCAAACTTGGAGGAATGATAATTTGATAGCTGGAGAAATGGAAAGATGGTTGGATCAGATATTAAGATGAGGAGGGACAGAATCCACCTGTTTTGGTGATGCCAACTGATCCTAGACTTGCCCGTTGTGGCTCCCGGACACCCCAATTTGAAGATGCCCCTCAACAGTCTTGAGGATTCTCATCCCTGCTCTGGAAACAGGCCTAAGTCCAAGAATTCTGGGAGTTGAAGTCCACAAGTTGTAAAGTTGCCAAGGTTGGAGAGCCTGGCTTAGATGCTGGAAGAACGGCCTGGTGGGACCAAGTAAACCAACGAGACCCCAAAACTCCATCCTGGGTCCAGCTCCAGGTGTTTCATCACCTGTCCAATGAAGCCAAAGGGAAAGGAGCTTCCGGAGAGGGAAGCCAGGTAAACTGAGGAACCAACACGAGCCCACAAAGTGACACATCCCTGGCTCCCGCTCAGAGTTTGCTCAAGTCAGTCCTGGAAAAGGCAGCCCAACACCCCCAAGAACACCGAGTACAGCCAGCCAGCCCACCCACCCACCGAGGGATGCTTGCGCAGGTCCATCTGTTTCTAGCCCTTGTGCAGAGAAGATCTGAGAGGTTGGTCAAGCGGAGAGGATCAGCATGGGGGTGAATGTAGCCCACTCCCAAATATTCTGTCCTTGCTCCCCGGAATCTGAACCCCCTCCCCCCCAGTCTCCTCTGACTTTTAAACATCTACAACCTATCCTTAACTTTTTCCTTCTCTGCATGTTTCTTTCTCTCTGCCTTGCACACACTCGACTCAAGGTGAGAGAAAACACAACTGCGCACCGCAACCACACAAGATTGATGAATTACATTTCTGCTCCGGGTCTTTTCCATGGCTGGTGATTTTCCAGCAAAGCAATTATCACCATAGAATACATAATGGCCTAATTAATTACTACTGTCAGACCGGCCTCTATGCTATGATTATACCTTATCAAGGCGACTCTCTCTCTCTCTCTCTCTCTCTCTCTCTCTCTCTCTCTCTCTCTCTCTCTCTCTCTCTCTCTCTCTCTTTTAAAGCAACACTGAGAAGCAAAAAATATTATTGCAATGGACAGGTTTTGTTTTTTGTTTTTTTTTAAAGTTGCCTTCTGCCTCTGCCTCTCCTTCCTCCTGCCTTCAATCTTTCTGTTGATATTTTGCCTAGGTTTATACACAAACAGCTCAAAAATGCAACACTGCATTTAAATGTAATTGCAACTGATGATATGCTTGAACAATACGCTGGCTTTTCTCTTTTCCAAACAACCCAGTTAGATATTTTAATTCAAATGGCCACTTCATAATAACAGCAGCAGCAACAACAACACAACAGGAACGCTCCCTAAGTTCTATTTTTGCCCGTGATTGTTCTTGTAAGGCCTCCTCGGTGGTGGTGCCAACTTTGCAGACCCCTGACGAGGCCCTGATTCAAGAGATTCCCAGCATCACAAATGGACAGATGCCCCATAGCTGGTCCTTCCTTCTTTCCCTCCCTCCCTCCATGGATGACGTCCTTAACTAAAGAAAAGCAGCAAAATTGCACATGGGAGTGCCATGGAGCCTTCTCTAATTCTGCTGAGGGCACAGGAGGATTGCAAGATAGAAGGCATACCTGGAGGAATAAGGATGCTTTCCCCCCCCCCAAAAAAAAGCATTTAGTGCAGTGAGAAAGTTGTTGTTTATTACACGTATTTCTTCTAGGCAACGGGTTTATAAGCAACTTTTGATTGTGGAGATAACAAGCCAATTCTTCAAAGAAATAAAAAAAAACCTTCCCAGAATTTTGATTCAGCATTACAGTGTTACGCTGGCTTCGAACCTGTCTTATAAAAAAATAAGTTGAACTAAATAAAGTTGGGGGAAAACACAGGCTCCAACCCTTCTGGTATCAGCAACATCTTGACATGTCTTGATAGCAATCTCTCCCAGATTAAACCCTGATGGCGGTGTAAAGACTGAACGTTCCCCCTCAAAAGTGAGAAATTTGAAAAATATAGGGCAAAATACAAGCCGAGCCTAACTCCCATTAAGAAAGGAAAAATAAACCGAAGTGGAAACATCGAAAAGACCATTCAAAGGAAGTCCGTGCATGATTCCCAAAGCAAAGAAGAGAAACGGAGCAGCGGATGATTTAAAGGAGAAGAGGAGGAGGGGAAAAAAGAGTTTTAATAATTTACACAGCCAAGATGCTGCTGCTGCTGAACGAAAGGGAGCTGCTGCTGGCCATCCATTTTGTCATCCTACTTCCTGACAGACACGATAATGCTGTGGAAAAGGCTTTTTTCTCACCCTCCCCAGGGATGTTCATCTCATTGGAACTTTTTCAACAAAGCCCTTCTCCCTTGTGCCACGGGGGCACCTGGTTCCCCTCTCTTCCACCCCTCGGTGGGAACATCAGCTGGGGTCAAGGAAGAGGTCTCCAGCAAGGTCTCCCACCAGTATAAAGGGGGCCTCGGTCACAGGATGCAGGGCCCTCCTCCAAAAGCTCCTGGCCCCTCCAAATCACTGATCAATTGTGACTCTTGGGGAGCTGCTGGGGAGCATGGGTTTCAAACTCTGACACTGCCCATTGACGCATTTTCTCGCCCCGAGGAGGACTCAAGGTTGAGGTGTAGGACTCGGTCCAATTACAGCCCTGTGGTTCTATCTAGGAAAGAACTAAAAGGCGAAGAGAACGATGGGAATAAATGGGGTGCCCCTGAGATCACCTTTCCATAAAGCCCGACAGGTAGATAAGGGTTGGTTTTTATTTTAAGAGAATGATGTAAAATGCGCAGGGATGAAAGAGGGATTTCTTCAGAACTACAGCCATCGGTGGCCCAAATTGTGTTGACTGTCTCACACTCCCTTTTTGTTAAAAAAAACAACAGCCAACTAGCTCCCAAAGATGCCCTGGTATTCTGAAACTGGGGACTCTGCTCCTCTGGATCTGTGGCCGGTCTCTCCATTTTTTACATGGGTCCTGTGGGGCCTTTTTTTTTTTTTTTCCAAGTTAGCACTTTTGCATTGTTTTAATAATGGCTTTTTAGCATATGGCTTGGTGCTGTTTTACGTTTGTAATTACTGCATTATGTAAATTATGCTTTTAATGGTTGTTTTTAATTAAGCTGTTTGTTTTGCATTCTTTTGACCATTCGCCATTCTGTGGTGGAAGAGCCGGGGATAAATCCAAGAAATAAATATGCAAGGAAGCAGTTCTGGAGTCCTGAATTGGGAGAGAAAGCAGATTCTTGAAACTCAGCTAGTTGAGGATGAAGTGGTCCAGTGGCTGAGAATCTGGATATTTGAAACGGTCTCAGGATGTGAGAGCGAGAGAAACAGAGAGCTTTTTCCAGATTACTTGCCTTTTCTCCCTTAATTTATTATCTCAAAACTACTTTTTTCTCAGCAACTGAGAAGCAGGAGAAATTAGCTGACCCAGACATGGTTCTTTTGACTTCTTGCGCCATTATCAAGTCAATGTTTCACCCACATTTTCACGTAAGGAAACTTTTAATTTAGATATTTTCATCCCTCCAAGAAGAGGAGGAGGAGGAAGAGAGAGAGAGAGAGAGAGAGAGAGAGAGAAAAGGGGGAAAAAAAGGAAGTTTCAAATAATGACTGTAATAAATGAAGGTAATTAATTGTAGTTTGTTCCTTAACTGTCTAGTCAGCTTAATTTTACCTTTTCATCTAATAATGAGAAAATAATTTTTGTGCTCTGAGGGTTAATGATATGTAACTGCAAGAGCTGCTAATTGCATGTTGCAAACTATTCATCAGAATCCCCATCTGTGCTACTTGATTATGTTTGCTAAATTATTGCTTTGAATTATCTTTCATAAAGCAACTTTTGTAATTAGCAAGGCTCTGGCTCTGCTCTTTTTGCCGTCTGAAAGAAAGAAAGAAAGAAAAAAAACCCAAACCAAAGAAAAGAAAAAATGAACTTCGGCCATTTCAATCTGTTGTGGCTCCCCTTCCATCACCAGCAGGCTTTTGTCTTCTCTGGGATGGAAGAATTAAACTTGGGGTCTTATTTATCGAAATCAGGATATGAAAAAAAGGCTGTGTGCCTCTCCTGCCCTTCACACAGTGGCCCTTCACACAGTCCAAGGGAGAAGGTTTTGGCCCCAAGGGCCCCACAAGCTCTAACTAGCCAATTCCCAAGGTTAACCTCAGAGACCGAGCACTGATGATGTTATCTGGTTGGGTAAATAAACATCTGCAAGAACACAACAGTTCCCAGGAAAGGCTCAGACCATCCCCGGTCACTGACCAGGATGAACAGGTCAGGGCTGCATCACAAAATGGTGGCCTACTTCTCTTTCTCCAAGAAAATCATTCTTGGCTCTTGATGTTCATATAAATCCATTTTCTCTTCTTCTCCCAGGAGATCTACAGACTAAGCTGAATGCCCAATTTAGTCCATTCTTCATAAAAACGAAACCGATTCATCCATTGTTCGGCTGAGCCATCTCTGATTTTGCATTATTTCCATACAGAAAGACCGTTTTTCACTGGTAGGTAGCTTCAAACATTCAGCCCAATCTCTCCATCATAGACCTTGAGGGTATAATTTCACAATGCAGATTCTGCTGATTATATAAAGTGGCCTTAAGGTTTGAATAGATGAAATGCAGGGGTGGGGGTGGGGAACCACATATCTACATCCTGTACATCTAATCTGCTTGAAATCCATATTATAATCCTTCAGAAACTTGATGCTTGAAATAATGAAAAAATGCCATGGAAGTTGTAAGACCGCAATACAAAATGTCCTTCAACGTGCTTAGGGACAGGTGATCCCTCCTTTTCATTCTCTCAATAACTTGGTGAGGAAGGTCAGGGTTGAGATAAAGGGAGCCCCCCCCCGGCTCCAAATATCTGCAAATATCACAACTTTTGTTCAGATCTACAGCAGGATCTACTTGTATTTTGAACAAGAGCTTCCATGTTTCATTACATTTGCTCTCTTTCTCAATTTGGAGTCCCCAGTTTGGTTCACAAATTTTTCTACCCACGGTAAGAAAACAAAAAGGTACCTTGTTACTGGTCTCTTCTTACCTCTGCCTGGAAACTTTTTAAGACAGGAGCCACCATATCACGAACCTCCTGAAGGAAAAGGGGGAAAAAAGAAGGGGTGGGAATCCTCTTGTTTAGACGTCTAAGGCAAGGAGGTTCAAGGGAATGGTGTTCAAAATGTGGACCTTAACTTAAGTTTTTCAACTTAAACATTTACAGTATTTGTGGCCATATTCAAGCACGGACGAGGAGAAGGAGGAGGAAGGAAGGAGAGAAAGAAGGAGAAGAAGATTGACTTAAAAGAAATTTTAAGGAAAAGCAAGACGCCATACCTCAGGTACATTTCTTTTAAATTCCTGGCTGAGTTCAATTAAATGCTTGTGGGAATGTTCGCTTTCCTCCTGACGGGCTGCCAGTTCAGAAGCCACAGAATTCAGTTCCTTCTGGAACAAAAGAAACCAAAAAAAGGAAATGTTATGAAAAATACAGGAACGTGAAATGCCAATATTTTGCTGAGATATTTTTCAACGCTACCTTGAGCATTGAAAAGCACAAGGTGGGGATGAGCTTTTGCACCCACAAATGTTGGTTTCTGGTGTGATAAATTTGAAATGTTGACTTAGGATACAGCAAGCAGCCATCAAGTGCTGCCATGAGTTTTGAAAACTCTACCGTTTCTTTTGGAGGCCCAGTGACCTTAAATCCCTGCAACCTCCACACCTGGGCTTTCAAGAGTAGACAAGGTATGGA